GCCTAATCGGTTCAAAACAGGAGATTTCTAACCATCCCCTTGCTTTCTTGATTACCATTTATAGTATCAATCAGATCAGATATTGTGGTCTGAATAATTTTGTCTCACCACTTGAAGTGTGTACACTGAGAAACGGGTAACTGATTTGCAGATTGTTAATTTGATTGAAGGTGTCACCAGTTCACCCAAGTAGCTAGCCAGAAATTGGGTGATTCGAAATGATTCTACCATCTGAGCTGAGTCACACCAGGTACACCAATGATGAGCTCGGTCCCAAATTAGCGGAAGGGCTGTCCGGTGTTTAAATCACTTCAATCTGCCTGATAAGCAAACACTACTGTTTGATATGACTGATATAAAACTACTCATCTTCATCAATCAGTAGTATATAGTTTTATGCAAAGACAGATTATTGATGGAAGATTAAGAGAAAAATTATTTTCCTTATAAAAATTTAATCATCATTTCTAACAGATGTAGACAGTGTAATTGTCGGATGGTACTCTCCACCTATTCATTTTTGTCCTACAATCTTCATCGATAAACTTTTCCAACTCAGCTTCTGTTTGAACTCTCTAATTAATTATCACGTTGTTTAATACTGATAAAATTGCAAAAGTGGGCCAAGTTAAATCTTATGCACCAACAACTACCAGTGGAGTTCGACCGCACCAGTGAACTTGATACATTCACTGAGCAAGTTAGTAAAATCTGTCAAATAATGCTGTCATTATCAATAAAATATGCTAATGAAAGTATTATGTTATTAAATGGGATATCTAGCAAGTTTCAGATTAGGTTTTGGGAAAGATTAGGTTAAAGTTTAGGCCAAAGACAAGTTAGGGTTAGGTTAATCTAACAAAGGTGACAGTAGGTTTGGTTCGAGTTAGATTAAAGTTAGTTTAGTGATATTTTCACGTTAGAGTTAAGTTCAGGAAAGATTAGGGTTATTGTTAGGGTAAGAAGACCTAAATAACAACATGCACAGAATGTGGTTAAATAACTCTGTTGATATAAGAATAGAACTTGTGCACTGTGGTGGTAGAGTATAATTCTATTGTGGGTAAAATTTATTTTGATAAAGTCTCACAGTGTTATATAGTGACATTTACTGATGACAACGTTTCTAGCACAATTTTTGCTCAGTATATATTACTGTATAACACTATGAGATTTTATCAAAGTAAATATTACCCACAATGGGATTACACTCTGTTGATACTCCAGTGTAAGCCTGAGAGCTATCTTTATCACGTGTGAGAGGAAGGTTTCCTCTGTAAAACACTTTCATACAGCTTTTATGCATTTTTTTTCATAAGTCTTTGTATTCCATACACGTTAATGAGTTCGAGGTCATTCACTGACTGGTAGTTAGTGGTGCTTAGAGTTTAACTTTGCCCAAAAGTGTTCCAACACTTAGGGCTCAGACATTAGAGATCATACTGCCTCTCTCCTGTTACAAGGCGTTTTGATGAAAGCCAACAGTCTGATAATCAGTTATACTATGTGACTCTAAAACGGCAGGTAAGTTATGGTTATAAAACTATTAAATATAATGTTACAATATAAGTTCCAGGGTTTTATTCATTGCAATATAAGTAAAGTGTTAACATGCTGTTAATGTAGTCATTTATATCTTCTTTTGACTGATTATGTCGGATAGAAAGGTTGAAAGACCAAAAGAAGTGACTCTCATCGCCTAGTGGATAATGCTGTAGCGTTTTTGAAATGATAAATTCACAGCTAATATCTCATTGAGGATACCGTCAACAATCGGTGGAAATGAAGATAAATACACCTATTCAACTGATGAGTCCCAAGCAAAATGATGAAATGTGCACCTTATTTTTCAACCAAAAGAACTTCTAATTATGAAGAAAATAAGACAAAAATTCAGCGAAGAAGATTTTCTTTATCGATGAAGTCGTCTTCAGAGTCGGCTGTACAATCGTATTTATATTTACCAAAAATGTATAGTAGTCTATTATTTAGTAATAGGGCGTGACATAATTGACAACGACAGACAACAATCAGCCAGCATAAATTGGAGGAATCTGAAAGAAACAACCTCCTTTACCTTCCCACCTACCTGGGAAACATCGTTTCAACTACAGGCGCATGGAACTGACGAGGATATCAAAGCGAGAATCGGGAAGCAAGACAGGCTTTCATTACTCTCTAGTCTGTGTGGAGGTCAACAGCACTCAGAATCAAAAATAAGATCCGGATTTTCAACTCCAATGTCAAGTCAGTCAGTGCTACTTTACGGATCAGAGACTTGGCGCGTCATGAAGAGCATCTCAAACAAACCACAGACCTTCATTAACAGTTGTCTTCGCTCAGTACCTCACTCAAGATCAGATGGCCGGCCAGAAAAGATCAGCAACAGGGAGGGATCTCTGGAAATGAGCGACCCAACCCAGCAGGAACCGATTGTGAAACAAATAGGCAGGAAGAAATGGAGATGGATTGGCCATACTCTGAGGAGACCATCAAGTAACATCACTAGACAAGCCATCGCTCCAGTGGAACCCAAAAGGAAGCGGCGAGTTGGTCGTTCGATGGGGGTGGCTTGGAGGAGGTCATGTGAAGAGGAGATGAAGGCATGTGGGCAGACTTGGAGCCAGGTGAAAACTCTATCAGGGTACCGAACGCAATGGAGACGCGCAGCTGAAGCCCTATATTCCTCTAGAAATTAAAGGAAATAATAATGAAAATTGATACAATTACTCAGAAGTGGCTTTAGAAGTAAAAAAAATAAAAGTTGTAAATTACGTGGTATTCAATGGCACAAAGTTAGAAGTTGATAAAGTTAAAATTTCTGTTGAGTGAGAATAAAGTTGGTAGCTGAGTATCAATTTAACAAGTGTGAAGAGGGTGTGAAAATGTACAAAAAGAACATATGAGAATGATAATAGTGAATTAATCATTAAAGTAAAATCAAACTAAAAGTAAAACTGAAAATTCAAAAATAAATTTTTCTATAAGGGAACAACTGGTGAAGAGATTAAGACCAAGGTAGAATAAAACGAAGAATAAAACTTTTTCTGTACACAGAGTTCGGGGTTGTATTGACGAATTGCCAGAGCCTTCGCCATATGCAAAAGCCAAGACCTGACGTCCTTTGTACCATTTGGCCTCACCTTTTAGATGATCTTGAGAGACGACTCTGGTGGAGCTTTGTGGCTTGAGTTCACCAAGTGCTCGGGAACTGAGCTAGTAATTGTCTTGCATTGTCCTTTTGTTAACCATACCGGATAATGTTCAGAGGTGCGTTTGGAAAGTGTGCGCTTTGTGCGGCCAATGTAACTACCTCAACAGTAGCAGGTGAATTTATAAACACACAGTGAAGTGGCTCATAGTGGCAGTTAATCTTTCACACATCCATTGATCATTCTTCAGCTGTAGAAAATAATCCGTAACCCAGCCGAAAAGAAGGCTTTTTCCAAGGATCCGCATAAGCGATTCATCGTGATCTTAGCCGCGGTATCACCTTTAAATTCGACGCTCATAAACAGCAGTTCCTTCAGCACTGTCTGGGTTCTTTCAGACTTTTGCTTTCACTTCATGTTTTTCTCGATAAATCTTGAAAGATATCCATTCTCTACGTGGACTTGTCTGAGTCACTCCAGTTCCCCGTCGATCGTATCACTGGAACATATCCTTCTTATTCTTGAGGATAAGGAGTGGATCAGGTTTCTCTTTCTTTTCAAAGGGACCTAACTATGAAAATTCGTATACTGACTATTCCATGTTGGTTTCCTGTAGATCGATCTTTGAAGAGAACAATCTGATCTCCTTATTTGAAAAACATCCAAAAAATGGAATTCCGAATTCATCTCTGATTCCAACGTGAATTGGATGGCATGATGTTGTCAGCTATTGAACTCTTTGATTATCATTTTGATATCGAAATTGTCGTCACATAGGATAAAAGTATCATCCATATATCTTTGGTACAAATGGAAACTACCGACAATAGGCCATCAGATACTATTCTCGAAACATGCTAAGAAGCAGTCTGCAAGTAAAGGATCCATTGGTGATTCCATTGTCACTCCATCTCTTTGTCTATAAAGCGTATTGCTGAACTTGAATTGGACATTTAAAGTGCACCTCAATAGTAGTTTCTTTTAAGTAGTGGATTGGAACACACACATGTCTGCATTACTATCCTCAATGAATTTGCATATAAAACAAATAGTTTCAATGAGAGGAATATTGGTGAAGAGGGATGTAACATCCATTGGATAACATTTTCTTTCCGGATACATTAGTATCACTTATTGAATCAACAAATTCCGATGAATCAGAAACACTATGCTTGCAGAGATTATTTCTAATAGGCAGGAGAATGTCTACGAGACATTTGAAAGTAGCATGATACGGGGAATTTGTCATATCCAAGATTGGACTTACAGGGTACGTCGTCTTTGTGCACTTTTGGCAGACCAAATAAACTTCTAATTAGTGTTGTCTTTTCTTAGTCAAGATATCTTTTTAATTTCAATATGAAAAAAAGAGTTGTTGTGATCCTACAGAAAAAAATGTGAACTAATTAGTTAATCAATTGTTTGTTTGTTTTCTTCAAAGTTATGCATTTTAGTTAAATAATTTGTACCATATTGATGAAAAAAAAAGAAAGACTTTAGATGTCTTTCGTATTCTTCTTTGTTTTCTCCAATCATTATGTAGAGATATAGTCAATGTAAACAAACCTACTGTTTTAATTTCATCATTACTTGTCTGTAATCGTTTTTCTCTCTGTATGCGTGTGTGTGTGTGTGTGTGTGTTTTAAGAGTACAGCATTCCATTTTTACTACTTTCGTTTGCCTACACTATGGTATATATAGGACAAAAATATGTGCAAGCGTAAGCAAAGTAAAATCTTATCGTGACCACAAACGACTACAAAATACTGTCACGGATCTACATTTGTTCACTTTTGAAAAAAGCTCACTCCAAAAAAAAAAAAACGAAGAATAACACCATCTAGAGAATGAATGATTTTGTTGTGTACCTGGATGACCCCAAACAACAACAACAACAACAACAACAGCAACTACAAGCAAAAACTGATCAAACGCCTACAAATAACTCAAACGGTCAAGAGAAATCAGCGGAAAAGAACAGCACTAGCAACAACATCGACAACAACAGTAAGTCAGGTAATCCTCTGGAAAACAAAACTCTACTTGAAACAAATGAATCTGATGAGGCGAATCAAGGCGAAAAATATCGTCTATTGACAAGTGAAGATCTTATTCAATTAGATGAAAATAGCCCAAAATGGAAACGTATTCGAATTGGCTTGTTAATTGCTTTTTGGATTATTTGGTTTGGTTTATTGATTGGAACTATTGTTTACGTGATTGTTGGACCAAAATGTGCAACTATACCTAAATTACCATTTTGGAAATCTACAGTTGGCTATTGGGTTGATGTATTCGCTTTTAAAGATACTACTGGTGATCTTGTCGGTGATTTAAACGGTAAACGAAATTCTATTTTTCTCATTTTGTTTTTCCTAATGTTTTCATTTTATTCTTTTTCAACAGGTTTTATATCTGAAGCTGAGTATATTAAAAATGTGATTGGTGCAGGATATGTTATATTAGGTCCTATAACAAAAGGATTCTATAATAATAGGCATAAAATATTTGGATTAGTTGAAGATTATGATGCAGTAGATGAAACACTTGGTACAATGGATGATTTTCGTCGACTAATTAAACGATTCCACAAGCTGGGTATTAAAGTTATTCTCACTTTCAATTTCAATGGAATATCTGTTGAGCATAAATGGATTGCAGAGAAAAAAGCTAAACTGACAAAGTTACCAAGTAATTTTGGAAAAGGAGTAAGTTAAAGCAATTCATTCTTTTTTTTTTTGATAAATTTGAATAAGAAAGGCATTAAGAAGACAAATTTCACCGCGAGATGATATCGTCATTTCGTAAGTTTCTTTACAACCGCTTTACAACTAGCAGCATGGTTCACAATAATAAAAGAAAGTTCATGAAAATTACTCAGTTAAATAAAAAACAAGAGTACATACTAATGACCAATCATACTTAAATAGGTCAAGTAGTCCATGGTAGGCAAAGATTGAAGTCTATTGATTTTTGTACCCACAGTTTAGGATGTTTGTGATTAATCCCCCAAAGTGCTTCCATCACCTTCAATGAACGACCTTGAATTACAGTTATGTGATGAAATAATTGTGAAACAATCATTCATATTTATTTTGTGACCTGACATTAATAAGTACTTTGCAATTAATGATGCTGATGGATTTCTATTCAGATTAATCGCATTGGGATTTTCTATATGACATAGTGGCCATTTTGGAGCATGTCCTTTTCGACGACATTGGAACATTCTGTCGGTTCTACCTATATAGTTGTCGCCGTAGCTGCAGGTCAACTTGTAGATATAATTTAAAGTAGAGTCCACAGAATTTCGTCCCTTGATCGTAGGTACAGGGATCGAAAACGTTCGGTAAATGAGAAAAAGAGATGCGGTGGCATCGTATGTGCGTTTGATGGCTGATCGAAGTCTTTGAGCTGGTCGCCTTGAATGGTAGGTTAATAAACATAGCTTTCTTTGATACAGAAGCTGTCTTTTCGAGATGTGGTCTTTCTTTTTTACTGTGACAAGTGATAAAGTTTTCCGGAAAACTATTAGCTAATAAAACCGAATGTATATGTCGAAGCTCATCCATTAGTGCGTCACTCGTGCATATTTTTCGGGCCCTTGAGAACAAACATTTCACTAGGGAACGTTTATACTGGACAGGAACAAAACTGGTAAAATGAAGGTATTATTCACTCCATATCTGTTTACGAAAAATTTGTCTTCTTAATGCCTGAACACTTCAAAAGACTTCTAAATCGTCCGCCACCTACAACGCGCCCAACAATACCAACAACGGAAGCAGAATTACTAGTCAACATTAACCCCCCGACAAAATCAGAAGTCCTGAATGCAATCAAGATGCTAAAAGCTGGGAAAGCAGCAGGACCAGATGGAATCCCAGTAGAAGCTTTGAAAATAGACCTAGAGACAACAGCGGACTTGATGACGCCACTGGAAGAAAGGATACTTATTCAAACTACCAAAGAAAGGAGACTTAAGTCAATGCAAAAACTGGCGCGGAATTATGCCCCTGTCCATCCCAAGCAAAATACTAAGCCCCATCATCCTGGAGAGAATCAAACACGCCGTACTGGATGCAAAACTTCGACCGGAACAGGCTGGATTCAGGAGAAACAAGTTATGTATTGATCAAATCGCCACACTACGGATCATCATTGAACAAAGCTTGGAATGGCAATCACCTCTCTATCTCAATTTCATCGACTTTGAAAAGGCCTTCAACAGTATGTGGGCAGACTTGTGGCGGGGTGGAAAAGTTGGCAGAAAACCGAAGGCAATGGAGACGCGCAGCTGAAGCCCTATGTTCCTCTAGGAATTAAAGGATATAATAATAATATAATAATAATGCCTCATTCAAAGGAGTAAGTGTAAATACGTATTTCACTCACTTTAATGATAACTCTAATATCTCCTTTTCTTTTTCTCCTAACAAAGTATTCCCGATACGGACAAGAATTAGGCGTAGACATCGAGAATGAGAAATATTATTCCGTGTTTGGATGGCCAAGTGTAGATTTAGATTTAACAGATTCAAGTACTCAGAAGGCAATATTTGTAAGTTATTCAATGTTGGTTTTTTTTAAATAAATAATTACCTGATTAGGATTCAATTGGTCATTGGATGAGAGAAGGTATTGATGGAATTCTCTTGGATAATTGTGCATTTTTCAATGAAATTATGGAATCTACAGAAGGCACTAGGGTATGTTTATATATATAATGTTGTTTTCTTATGATGATTTAAATTTCATGCTTTAGACTACCAAAAACGCTTGGTTTAGTGGCTATCCTAATCGTCAGTTATTTGTAAATACCAGTGTCAATTTTGTTGGACAAGTTAAAAAGGAAATCGATTCATGGTCTCAGAAAACTGGCAAAGAAAAGTAAATCTGTTTATGATGATTAATTTTAATATATTGACAGCATTTATAATGAACTTTAATAAAAACTTGAATATTATATATTGAAGAATAGAACTTGAATACTCTGGTAGACTATAATTATATCATAGAGTGACTTGATAAAGTCACACAGTGATACAGTATTATTTACTGATGACACAATTGTCTGTCTCACATAACCTCCTTCAAACTTTGTTCACCAGTGGTTGACATCTGTTAGATAACCATTGGAAACCCACCTAAGGGTACTGGACAGCTGTTATGTCAGCCTAGTTTGAGACTCTTATTCAGCAGTCCGCACCCACCGCCAAGGTTCGAACCCATGACCTTCTGGTTCTAAGGCGAGCTAGCCCGTAAACCATTAAGCCATTGGGACCCAATCCAATGGTCAGGCCATGAATTATGACTTCTCACATGACGCGACTACTTCGCAATGTCTTCTTTGATGAATAACTCTCCTCACCTTCTACCTGCCTGCTGTGCCCTACTGGTCACAACTTCTCAATAGAACCCCAAGTGACTGCCTTGGCTCGAACCCCGGTGGTAGCTTACTGATGAGGAGAGTCAAACTAGGGTGAAACAGTTGTCCAGTACTCCCAGACGGTTTTCCAATGATTCTCTAACTGATGTCAGCTCATGATAATGAAATCCTCCAGCCAATCAATCGAACAAAATCCCTACAAAATTGATACTTGAAAATTTGTTTATATGGTTTCAGTGCTTCTTATCCTATGATTTTATCGATAGTAATATTTAAAGTATCTCTGATATTGACGTTGAGTTATTCATATTGCATATGTTAGCAGTAGATTCGATGAAGAAAGATTCAGTAATCAACTTCCCCCCTCCACCTACTTATATTGCTTTTCATAAGCGTAACTCTATTCCACCCCATTTTGTGTGTTAATGCATGCATTGTGATTCCTGAATTTCCTCTAAACTGCTCATTTTCGTGGGGTCAATCAACCTACACTTAGCTAAATTCTTATTATCCAGTAGTTTGACTACACCTAATTTATTAGTGTAATCTATGTAGTTGATCACACAATCAATCATAGCAATGTATTTCGTAGATCAAATTATTTTGTCTAATTGAGTGAATAGGATAATAGGATTTCACCTGCAGAGCTTGTCCTTTTTGAGTTAGTTTATAGGTTTAAATGCCATCTTATTTTATGCTTTATTGAGTAAATATATATATATAAGGAAGGGACATTTGAAACCCTATGTAGGATTTCATCCTTTAAGAATACTAAGACTTATAATTCAGTAGAGTGATTCCAAGAATCGTATCTCTTTAAAGTCAGTTAAACAGGGTGAAATGGAGTTCAAAAACAAAACAAAAAAATCAATGAAAAGCCAATCAGTATGATGCTGAATAGCAAGTCTGATGGAAAAAATATTTAAATTGAACACAGATTCATCAATAAACCCTGAAATGCTGTAAATAATAGTTCCAGTTCTACATTATTTTGATTAAGCGAGAAGAACAACAGGTTCTAAGACTCATTGATTCGTGTAACACGTAATCTTATAAATTCAATAAAATTCCTTCTTGAACTTGAAGATGGTAGTTAGATGATGGTGATGAATAAGTTTGAGACAACTGCCGCAGAATATACTCGTTCACTTATTCTAAGTTATCACCGTAATTCTTTTGTTTAAAAACAGTTGACCCATTTCGTCTAACTTAATATTCCAGAAATAAATGAGACTGGATGACATGGAAGACCACAAGGCCCATAATCATAGTGACTTTTCAGTGTTAAAGTCATGCAATTAGCCGACGGAAACAAATAGTTGTAGTCTACTTTGATTGGACACTAGTAACTAGTGCGATGTGTCCAGTCCTTTTTGTGGTGCAGACTGAATTCTATCAGTCACTATTCTAGGTAGCTCACCAACGCGGTGCACATTGATTTGATGATATTAGATGGTTGGAGGCAATCGGAAGGAAGCCTTAGACCTAGGCTCCAGTCTGCACTGAAGAAAGGACTAGACACATCGCACTAGTTACTAGTGTCCAATGAAAGTACCCAATACAGTCATAAAGGAAGTTAATCGCTGCCCCGAACACCTCAATGGTAACGTCTCTGACTCCAGAACTAGGTGACGCGGGTTGGAGTCTGAGAAGGGACATGAGTTCCTTCGAGGTTGCAGATACGCCTTGCTGACTAGTGAGTACCAGCTAGCACGAAACCTAGGTCTAGCCAAGGCTTTCTGCCAATTGTCTCCAACCATCTAATTGTCGTCTAGTTTAATAGATCCCTGTGATCCTCCAGATGTCTTATTCATTTTCTAATACTTTGAACTCCGAGAGGAATATCAGGCTTCATCTTTGAGATTTGAAAGCTGTAGTAACGGTGACGTTTATTTGACACGAGGTCGAGTTGCTAGCCTCATGCTCAACTTTCCCTCTTTACTGGAATTACTACCAACCAAACTAAGTGTAGGAGTGCATTGGCTCAGGATCAAACCTCAGCCGACGTATCTGCTTGGCGAGTTCTTCATCATTGAAATGCTGACTGACGTACATATGAGTTTCACCTTACTATTATATATTGTCTAATAAATACTTCTTTCGTTTTTATTTGCAAAACCACTTTACAGGCTGTTAGCTGTATCCGCCGGTGATGTTGGCTATGGTACAATGGATGGACCTGATTCAATGCTTATGTTTAGAGATGTAGCCGACTTAATAATGAATCGAGAATTTGTTACCAACAAAGGTTGGAAAACTGGAAACCCACGGAATAACTTGAATTTAACAAATTATTTATCGTATACAAATGATGATATGATGAGATCAGGATTATCCACAGCCAATCCATCTGAACCATTGAGCTGGAATTTGCTTGATTTAGCGGCAACATTCTTACTACCAGGTAGACAAACAATGCATATATATATATATAAGTTAAAATTTATTTATTATCAGTGTTAATATTCAGACTACTTCAAAGGAATACCTCAGCACAAATCCTATCAGTTGACATTTACATTAGAACTGTTTTTACAGACTGTACCATTAGTATTATTATTGTACTGTTGTAACAACAGAAGACAAGCGCAAGCCAAACAGATCGTTTATTAAGGAAATCAACACATATTTATAGATTTTCATGTGATAGAGAAGATTTGTAGCTCAGGTGGATAATTTTGATGTGGTTTTGTTCTCTGAGCTGGATAGTTAGTTTGCGAAGCTTCGCAAACTAACTATCCAGCTCAGAGAACAAAACCACATCAAGATTTTCATGTACATTATTATAGGTTATTGTTAGCAGAAAAACACAGTCTTCTGATTGATTGTTTCTCACAGAAAGTTAACCTTGCATCACTTTGTGGCTGTTTCTTGAATGTCAGATCATCTATATGCTAACTGCATCCGCCTACGTAAAGCCTTTCTTCTCATTTTTCTCAGGATCAATATTGGGGACATAAACATTGACGTAAATTACTGTCCACCAATTTCGGCTAACAGTCAGCTCCCACCACACTGTTATTACTGGTGTGTAACAAACAGGTAACAGACTTTCAACAACAACTGCCTTCACCGGTTCCATACTCAAGATCAGATAGCCGGTCAGAAAGAATTAGTAACAAGAAACTCTGGCCGATACTCATAAGTGTTATATCATCTGTAGTTAGGATAGGAATGGTGAAACAGACCTATATTAATCTAAAATCACTTTGAACAATCTGTTGAACTCAGTATAAGAAAGATAATTAGAATTTCCATGCACTAACATCAAGTCAAGGTTTCTATCTATATTGATTAGTTCAGAGATTCGGAGCACGCGCCATAAAAGGAATTTCCAACAAGCTACTACAGATCTTTTATCAACTGGTGCTTCTTTGTTTTTGTATCTTTACTGAATATCAGATGGCCGAGTAGAAAAGATAAGTGACAAGAAACTCTTGGAACAAACTAACCAGGAAGTTATGATTACCCAGAAAATATATGCAGAAGGAAATGGAGATGGATTGGACATACACTGAGGAGACCATTGAGTGATATCATCACATGCAAAAACAGGTCCTCGAGTAGAACGTGAATGGGAAGTGGTGAGCTGGTTGTTCCACTGTGATGTGGAGTAGATCATGTTAGGAGGAAATGAAACTCCAAACATAGGGGAATAATCAAGAAATTGGGTTCCGAGTGGAACATACAGCCTCACCAACACATCTCCACTTTGCTCTATTTTCCACCATCCTCTTCAGATGGGTCAACGATTGTCCATAATCTCTCAACTCTTCCTCACACGTCTCTTACATGTCACCCTCACACTGGTGTCCCATTCGTCGCTTCTCATTCACCTTCCACTCAAGCGATGGGCAGCACTGAGTGCGATATCATTCGACAGTCTCCTAAATGTATGCCCGATCCATCTCCATTTTCTCTCACATATTTGTTAAGCGATCAGTTATTGGTTGGTTTGTTGCCAGTCAGAATTTCTTGTTACTAATTCTTTCTGACCGGCTATCTGATCTTGAGTATTGGAGCCAGTGAAGGCAGTTGTTGATGAAAGTCTGCAACTTGTTGGATTCCTTTTCGTTACACGCAGTGAAAGTGTATGACCCGTATAGAAGGACTGACTTGACATTGGTGTTGAAAATGTGAATCTTGTTCCTTATGCTGTGTGTAGAAGATTTCCAAACTGGCTTCAGATTGATGAGGACGAATCTCGCCTTTCCGATTCTCGTTTTGATATCTTCATCCGTACCATTCGCCTGTGGTTGAAACGATGCTGTCTAGATATATGCGAAGGAGGTGACCTCATTCAAATCTCTCCTGTTGATGGTTTCGGTTGTCGTTATTGTTGTTGCTGTTCATTGGTTATCTTCACCACCTCCATCTTCTCTACATTAATCCGAGGTCCTGTCTTCACAGGTGACTTCTTCGGTCACTTTGTTGGTTTTCGCCTGTAAGGAATCCAGGTTTTCTGACATCAGACATACATCATCCACACGCGAAATCCAGATCTTCTAGATGGAGTCTTCCTATCGGTGTTATTCCAGATTATTCTTCTCTTCCCACTCCCTGTGTACAGTCTGACGCATTATCTAGTCCACCTAAATTAAGAATATCATAGGCAGACAGCCTTATCTTACTTCAGTGTTCACTTCGAACGCCTCTTTGAGTTTTCCGTTGTCGATCACCTGACACGGGGCACTTCTTAGTCAACTACTTCATAATAAAATAAAGCTTCATAATTTAATGTCAAAGAGAGTAAAATCTCGGGAATAAATACTAAATTTCTAGAGTAAATGAGATCCATAATAGCTTTTAAGCTTATAGAATGTTTTGTTGACGTTAAACACATTTTCTCACATGATTTGCATAACACTATGCATAGTATGTTTTCTACACAAATTATTTATGAATTAACCACAGGAAGAGTACAAGAAACAAAATATACTAAACCATTTGTAGAATTTAACAGAGATAATTTGAGTGCCAGTACGCATCACAAAAAAAAAGAACTAAAATATATCAGCATTTAGAAACAGAATAAAAGTGATCCTTTGAAATGTATACCAAGGAATATGCTTATGGAATGAACTAAAAAGTCTTTATTCAAGTGTTGATTTGTAGGGATTTGGTTGGTTACAGGATTTCATCGTGAGCTGACATTGGTTAGAGAACTATTGGAAAACCTGGGAGTACTGGACAGTTGTTTCGTCCTAGTTTGGGACTCATCATCAGCACGCACTCACCTTTAATTTCGCTTTTGGATAAACAACACTCAATTTTTCAAGTGTTAATTTGTTATGGAATTGATTAGTTTGAAATTTGACCACTAACCAACTTCATTTAGAGAAGCAGTGAAAACTCAAGAGTACTAGTCGGATGTTTCGTCCCTGCTTAGGACTCTTTGACAGCACACACACACGCGTGGTCCTACCACTGATCGGAGCTAGGGAATTCAGGTCACAAAGCGAGCTGGTTTCAAATCAACGTTTGAAAATTAGTCTGATACGCACTAGTAACTGACTGTAGGAAGGAGTACTAGCGAGAAGTCGTGAACATTGGAATCTATGTGGTCGAGTGTGAAAATAAATAATCGCCAATGACACTGAAAATCACTTGCCTAGAGTAATTAATAACTTCATATATTTTATCAGATGCATTTTATCACTTCTTGTCGCAATGCATAATTCCACGACATGATAATTCAGTCTGTGAAAAATATATACATTTATACGTATATATCTTTACATGTGCGTCGGTGGCACAGTGGTTAGGACTCTCACCGACCATGCACATAGTCCGAGGTTCGATCCCCTGCCGACGCATACCTGATATCTATGGTCGACCTGTAAAATTTGGCCTACCAATATTCATGCTGAAAATTCCATGCTTGTACCGAAAATACAGTGTGGAATCAAGCTGTAATCAAAAATAAGTAAATAAAATAAAACAGTATCTGGAAATTATATCCTGTACTCTGAGGTCACATTTAGTTATAATGATATTCCTTTTGTGCCATCAAATATACAAAAAACATAAGCAGAAATCGGGTGTTTCGAACTCATTCAACTCTCTAAGTTGAAAATCAAGTTGGGTAGATCGCTGATCACCTCAGCGACCCAAACAAGCAAAATGACCGTCAGGCCTTTAGATCACTCCGATCCAGCAGGCTGGGGAACACTACTGCTACTACTACTACTACTCATCTCAGTCAATCGATAATATATCGTTCTGTGTAAATCTGCATTCATTGCCTTGGAAACCGCATCTATTAGGATCAGAAATTAACTGTTTCATCGTCTGTTGAAGTTAAGGAAATCTACAAACAACACTCCCTGTTACCGATTAATTCTTATTAGTTCAATTTAATGTTTTGTGTTAAATATCTTTTTTTTCATTCTCATAGGATCACCAGTAGTCTATTATGGGACTGAACTGGGTATCGCTAATTCCCATCTACGTTACAGGCCTGATTCATTCTATCCCAAAGACAGACAACTCTATCTATCTCCTAACGATGTATCCCTACTCGCACATTTACCGATGCCATGGAATTCTAATGGGAAAATGTTTTCAGAGGCAATAAACGACACTAGCTTTGCTGATCATTTGAGGAATTATCAAATCACCAACACTGTTGAAGTGAGTTTTTATTTGGGTGTGACTGTATAAACATTGTATATCCGATATTCTACTCATACACAGACATTACTACTCAATAACTTTAAAGTAGTTAACTACTTTTATTTGAAAATACCTGCTTCTGGCATAGTCAACTGCGTTACAAACAGCCATATACAAGTCATGAAATCACCAGACACAATTTGTATACAACAGGATAAATAATTGTGTATAAACTGTTAGTGTGAACATGAATTAATAACTGTTAAAGCGTAAGTGAAGGAAACAATTAACATGGTAGATTAGCAAATATAAAAAGCGTTTCATAGTCTGACAAATTTCAAATGAATCCCAAACCATTTTGTTTTAACTTATGTGGACAGATAACAAGTGATGTTAGTGTTAACTACTGAAGACTACTTTTGAAAAATAAGCGGAGTATATGCGTTTTTGAAAACACGCGAGTAGGTTATATGCAGGGTGAGATGCGACGAAAATCGAACATTTCTAAGTATGAGAGGTTTGAATCTCTAATGGTAACTAGTGGATACCAATGCTATCAATTTAGATCCCCAGTGGAACGTAGGGCTTCAGTAGCACATCCTATTATATGCAGTTTCCTTTAGATGGCTGCAGGACTGCTCATAGGCTCTCATCTATTCAATACTTGGTCTCCTCTATGTCACTGTCGAACCAACCCCCAACCTATGGCTTCCTTTACGGGTTCCTATACTCAAGCAATGGACTAGTGTTTTTATTCCTCACATTCCCAGTGCAACATAGGGTTTCAAGCTAAAGGCTTGCATTTTCTATAGCAGTGGTGATTATTTCTACAGGATGGGGTTGCTGGCCTCATGCCCAGCATTTCCTCTTTACCAGCTTTATTACTGGTTTAACGAGGTCAAGGAGTGCGTAGGTGGCCAGGGATCGAACTCCGGACAATAAGTGTATGGTTGGTGAGCGTCCTAACCGCTGTGCCACCGATGCCTATAATGCGTGATTTCAACCAACAGTCTCCTCAGCGTGTGTCCAGTTCATCTCCACTTCCGTCAGCATATGTGTTGGGTGATAGAATCTTTGCCAGAGTTCTTTTTTACTTGTCTTTTCTAACTAACCACCTCATTCATCTTCATTATAGAATGAAAGCAGTAGTAAAAATAACATGTATTTGATCTGACCCCAGCTCTAACTGATTCGTGGCTTCTTCACTCGACTCTAAGTATTCATTGAGAATAAGTTGACTCTAGAATTTCTACAGGATACAAGTATTACTTTTCTAGACCCATTGGCCTTAATCAAAATAAATGGGAAGTTATTTCAGTAAAACACAATATTGTCACTTGTGTTAACATCTTACGAACCCATTGTAAATTTAATGGACAATATAAACGAGCCGGTGTTCAGGACAGATGTCCGTTTACTGTATTCAGTTAGAGTTGAACTATGTCAAAGTTTAAGAACTGAACGAATGATTCAATTCGATTCTGATTTTCCCGTTGATTGATTGGACCGAAATTTTCGGCCTTTGTTGACATGTCTGCCTTTTGTCCATGTGCTTCATATCGATGTCCAGAGTAGTCTAATGGATAACACATTGGCCTTTGGAACGATAAGTACTGGGTTCAAGCCTCAGCTGGAAGGCCATCACTCGCTGGAGAATGCAAGTTCACCTAGAGGACAAGTCTGAAATAGGACGAAATGTGCATCCCGGACACTAGTGCCAGTCATCACAGTTTCCTTTGGAAACCAAAATAATTCAGATCATAATTAATGTGATTGGCTTGATACCATAAATGGGTTATCAAGGAATCAAGCAAAAATGCATAAATCTATATGCTACTGATTGTTTGAAATGAGTAGTTAAACACCTTTCACATTTACCAGTTGTACTTAATAGCCATCTAAATCCTAGTGATCTGAACACCGAACAAGGACTGTAGTGAAATTCCACTTCCATGTAGTATGTAAACTTTTAGTTAATTTGCGAATTTGATTAAAGGTGTTACCAGTTGTTGATTTTTTTTCTCAAATAAATTTGTTTCCCTTGATTTAAAGAGTTATCTCGCTGAAGGACATGGTGAATCAGTACTGAGCTTCATCAACAATCTTGTAGCTCTGTACACATCTTCCAGCTTGAAATGGGCAACTGTGGAACCAATACCTTATCCTCCCCAAGTAAGTGACCTCTAGATTATTGTTAGTTTTGTCTTCCCATATCGATTAAAATGTTTCACTGCATGTGTATTATTCCCTTTGAATGCGTGTTTTAAGTAATTATTTATTACTCGTCATCTCCAGTTTTCATGTGAAGACATTCACCTGAATCATGGGAGAATGAAATGTTGAATATCAAACTTGAGATTCTCAGCATCGAGTATACACTAGATTGAAAAGAATTTTTGTCATTAGTCTTAGTTTTTAGTCTTTATACTTCTAAGTTGACTGGTGTTATGTTATTCTAGATTTCTGAAGATTTATGACACCTCTACGTCTGTACATCGTCTGAAAGATTTCTACAATTACGATTTAAAATACAACACCAAACTAGTTAATTTCTGTAGTATATTTTTAAATCATGTGCTGTGTTTTTGCGTCTGTTACAATGGCTAAACTTACGCTGTAAATGTCAAATGTCGAGGTCGCAGAGACCTCAGACCTATCGCTGGTTTCAGAAGATTAAGGACAATACACAAAATTGTACTGTACTATTGTAATACACTCACAATAACTCACAACTTAATAAACAACGTTTTCAACGACATCAAATTCACAAGAGAGGAGGAATCTGAGAAACAAATACCATTTTTGGACGTCTTAGTCAAGCGAATAACCACAGGGGAATTAGAAACTCAAGTTTATAGAAAATCAACTCACACGGACCAAATCCTGAATTACAACAGCAACAATCCAATAACACACAAAAGGAATTGTATACAAACACTGTTCAAGAGGACAAGGACTCATTGCAGCACTCCCACCTTAAGGAAAATTGAAGAAAAATATCTCATGGATGTCTTCCAAAAGAATGGATATCCACGGAATTTCATCAAAAGACATATACCCCCAAGTCAACCTACCAAACCGAAAGCCCCCAAGGAAAGCACAAAGAAAATCGCCTTACCATATATAAAGGATATTTTTTCAGAAATCACTACAAGACTCTTTAAACCTCTAGGAATGGACGTCGTACACAAACCAATAAAGTCACTTCACTCAATTATATATCAACCAAAAGACTCAACGGCGAAAGAAGATAAAACCAACATCATCTACTAAATAAATTGTAACAACTGCGAAAAACACTACATTGGCCAAAGTGGACGTCCCCTTCGTCTTCGTATCCACAATCATAAGCTACCGTCAAAAGACATGATATCCACTCCCTCATATCACTACATACAGACAACCACGGACATCAATTCGACTGGGACAACCAACGTTCAAATATTAGACAGAGGAAACAACAATAATGCTAGAGAATGTTTAGAAGACTTCCTGGTATTCCAGTGAATCATCAATCAATAGACCCATCGAGGTAGACAAAATATATCAACCAATAAAAAAGAATCCTCACACACAAAGCGTCAGAGTTCAAGTCAAAAAAACTATCAGTTCCAATACAAGTAACCTAGAAGGTGTGAAAACACACAGAAACAACCAATCACGTCCAAGGTCACCAGGAGAGATGATTGATGAACTCGTGGAGAAATCTAAAAGCTCACTTCAAATTGAAGTATGCACTGAAGATGTCACCTAGTAGGGTGATGAAAGCTTCGCAAATCAACTATCCAGCTCAGAGGACACAACCACATCAAAATCATCCACCTGAGCTACAAATCTTCTCTATCATATCTAAGTATTATTTACTGGATGAGGTTTCGAACAAAATTTTATTGTTCATAATCATATCAACTATAATCACACGACTTCGAAACTTGAGTTTTATAGTTTTCTTTGTCCTCTCCTATTTGTCGTCGTAGGGGTCTACATTTTTCAGCTTAAGATAACTTAGTAGAATTTTCCAGATATCCGTCTAGGACAGGTGTTGAATCATTCCTATTACAAGTATTCTCTCAGTCCATTCGATAAACAAAGCTTCTGTTATCAATCTCTCCCTCCAACCAGTTGTTACTTCAGATTTTAAATCTGTCATCTTATCCCATCCAGCCTATTGTATGGTTGTGTGTAACTGCACGTAGTACTATAGCTGAACTACTCTCTAGATTTCTTATCTTATTTGGGTCAAACAATCTACATTTAGCTAGGTTTTTATGTTCGGCTAGCCTGACTGCCTCTGTTCTACTACTTTGACCTATGTATTTGACCTGGCAATCATTGTAGACAGCGCATTAGATAAATTAAATTGTTTTGTTTAATTGGCTACACACGATTGATCCTTTAACCGACTAGCTTGTTTCTAATTGAGTTTGTGGGTGGTGTGAATGCCAGCCATTTTTATTCCTGCCTTGTTAAGAATTCTCCGTAAGGTTTCCGAGGTTCCTTCTTTGTATGGAATTACTACTGATGATTTAGATTCCCTATTGTTGGTGTCGTCATTAATATTATTATCATTATCACTATCGCTACTATCATTATTTATTTTATTTTTACACTTCCTTACATATTTCCTGACTAATTTATCCGGATAATTATTAAGTTTCAAGGCTTCTTTTATGTGTATCATTTCTTGTCATAGATTTTCCTTGGTGCTACTTAGTTTTTGTGCTCTGTCATTTAAACATTTCACTAATCCTATTTTTACTGACATAGGATGGGATGATCGGAAGTCCAAATATCTGTTTGAATGTGTGGCTTTGCTGTAAACACTAGTGTTTAACTTCCCATCTTCTTTCCTTTTTACTCTGCAACCTAACATTAGAAGTCCCCCTTACTGAATTTCCAATTCACAAGTGAATTGAATTGCCTCTACCTTCGAGTTGATGTGTTCGAAAAATCTATCTATATTTTGTGTTCTAAGTACAGTGAATGTGTCATCTACATACCTCCACCATACTTTTGGGGTAGGGGTGAACGTCCCAATCGCTATGTTTTTCCATATATCCATGAATATATCTGCCACAATCGGGGATATTGATGACACCATGGCAACTCCCTCAGTTTGTTTGTATATTTTCCGTTGGAATTTAAATACTATAGAAGTCAGGCAAAGCTGCTCTCCCAGCATTATGTACTCAAGTGGCATTTTCGTCCTAAGTTCGAGTTCTTGGTCAGAAATGAGTTCGTTTCTGACTGCCCCTATAGCCATATTTATTGATATAAGTGTATATAAACTGACAATGTCAAAACTAACTACTACACCTACGACAAATAGGAAAGAACAACGAAAGCCATAAAACTCAAATTTCGAAGTAGTGTGATTATAATTGATACGATTATGAACAATAATAAATTTTGTTCGAAATGTCATCCAGTAAATAATACTGTTTCATCACTGTGTGATATATCTAATAAACAAACTAACATGGAATTACTTACTACCAGTGCCCAAGTTTTACACATATATTAATTGTTCGTGTTAACTACCATTTTGCACAGAATAATTAAAAAATAGAATAATTTAGGAGCTGATTATGTACGACAAGTTATGCAGTACGAAGATTTTAAAATGTCCGGCGTTACTCTGGAAGTGAGGTCAAATACATAGGTCAAAGTAGTAGAACAAGGGCAGTCAGATTGGCCGAACATAAAAACCTAGCAAAATGCAGGTTGGTTGACCCAAATAAGATAAGAAATTTAGAGAATAATTCAGCTATAGTACTACATGCAGTTACATACAACCATACAATAGGCTGGATGGGATAAGATGACAGATTTAAAATCTGAAGTAACAACTGGTTGGAGGGAGAGATTGATAACAGAAGCTTTGTTTATCGAATGGACTGAGAGAATACTTGTAATAGGAATGATTCAACACCTGTCCCAGACGGATATCTGGAAAATTATACTACCCCTACGACGACAAATAGGAGAGGACAAAGAAAACTATAAAACTCAAGTTTCGAAGTCGTGTGATTATAGTTGATATGATTATGAACAATAAAATTTTGTTCGAAACCTCATCCAGTAAATAATAGTGTTTCATCACTGTGTGATACATCTAATAAACAAACTAATATGGAAAGACAGGCCTTCATTAATCCGATATCCGTGCAGAAATCTGATGCACGCGGTATCACAGACAAAATGGAGATTTTCGACATTGATGTCAATCCATTTCTTCTGCATAGTTCAGACGTTTGGAGCACACAGAACCAAAAGAATTTTTGAACATGCTGCAGACTTTCATCAACACGTACACCTTCTCTGACTCCATACTGAAGATCAGACAGCTGGTCAGAAAAAATAAGCAATCAGGTGTACTGTGGTAACGAACCAGCCAGGAAACTAAATATTGCTAAACAAATATGCAGGAGGATACCGAAATGGACTGGAAATATATTGAACAAGCTGCTGATTTTAATTGAATTTTAGATTTTCCCGTCGATTGATTGGACTGAAGTGCTCGGTCTCAGGTTGACATGTCGGCCTCTTGTGAAGATGCTTCGACGATGTCTGGGTAAACAATCAGAATCTAGTTGGTGCACAGTGAATAGCATTTGAATCATGGATAACGCGCATTTCGTTCTATTTGGGACTCACCATCTGGATGTACCTGCATTCCCCAGTGAGTGATGATGTTGCCACTGTTGCACACGACGTGACTCTTGTAGCCCAAGTGGTCTAGTGGATTATAACGCTTTGGCGTTTGAAACTATGGGCACTGGGTTCGAGCCTCAGTGGGAAAACCAACACTCACTGGATGATGCAGGTACATCCAGATGACGAGCCCCAAATAGGACATAATGTGCATCCTGCATTCCACTGTTAGTCACCATCATCCACCAATTAAATTCAAACTATTGAGTTGCTTAACGCATCAAGCAGTCTGTCAAGTGGAAATTCAAGAGGAAATAGTGAGTTGAGCACAGGTCCGAGGGTGACACGGAGGGGATCATTTGAAGCGGACATGAAAGCTTATGCACAACCGTGGAGCCAGAGAATAGAGTGAGATAGAGGTGTGCTGTTTCAAGCCCTGTGTGCCACTCAGAACCAAAAGGATAATAATAATAATGTTGGTATATCCAACCTTCTGTGACTTTAGTTGCACGAGAACATTTCAAAGCTTGTGAGCTATGCAACACATCGTTATCAGTACAAAAAGCCTACGCTTCTGAAAGATAACTAATAAATGTGACGTTTTTGTGAAAGATTATTGAAATTCTGTAATAAATTTGTTTGTTGATGGCAATGAATTTATCTCTGAGCTGGTATTTTGTTGGCAAACCTATTTACTGGTGTAGTAGTAGTAGTAGTGTGGTGAGAGCTGGCTGTTAGCCGAAATTGGTGGACAGTAATTTACGTCAATGTTTATGTCCTCAATATTGGTCGTGAGAAAAATAAGAAGAAAAGCTTTGCGTAGGCGGATACCGTTAACATATATATGATCTGACATTCAAGAAACAGACATAAAGAGATGCAAGGTTAACTTTCCGTGAGAAAGAGCCAATCAGAAGACTGTGTTTTTCTGCTAACAATCATCTATAATAATGTACATGAAAATCTATAAATATGTGTTGATTTCGTTAATAAACGATCTGTTTGGCTGGCGCTTGTCTTCTGTTGTTACAGTAGTAGTAGTAGTAGTCATCAACTACAAAATCCTTTAAATCATGGAATTTCAAATGGTACCCTAAAAAACTCAACACTATCAGTAAAGAATTTTATTCAGTTTTAATTTCTTTTCTTAATTCTTACTTTTCTTTTAGTATTCTCAAGCTATATTTGGATTGTTCGCTCGCAAGGCAAAAGATTTTCCAACGCTGATTGTGGCCATAATGAAGCCACTAACATCTGAATACGTAATACTGGACTTCACGTCTATGTGTTCAACACTTACTCCACGAATTGTTTTTCCCTCAAATGGTTATCTACTAGTTAATACCACACTGCCAAGTGCTAAGATCTATGTTGGAGAATATGTGACTAGTGGTCAAATCTTCGTGTTTCAGTGTAATTGATAAATGGCGTTAACCGACTAGTTTGATCAGTCAGCATACTTATCCAAGTGAAATTTTTTTTCCAATGTATTGTTTTTTTTTAGTTAGCCTTAGTCTGACTTCCAAAATTTAGTTTTAGTTTTAATTTATACAGTAATTAACTACTATACTGTGTTTGTATAATTATTTGAACTTACTATACTTTACATCTGCTTTTTCTTTTTTCATCATCTTGTTCTTCTTCATTATTTCTTTGCGTTCTGAGTGGAGTATAAGGATTCCACCTTGACACTTGAAATTTCACTGGGAATTGTGCTGTTCAATGAATGTCTACTTGGTGGAATGGCTAGCCACACCCCTAGCCTTCCCTCTTCTCCTGGATTATTATCACAGCTGGTAAACTAGACGAGGTTTGAGAGACAGAGAGAGTGTGCGTGTGTGTGTTGATTTAGGATCGAATCCAAGACCATGTACATGGTTGACGAATATTATACGCTTGAACCACCTACGCATATACAATACACAGCTAATCTTTGTATTTATTCTATGCTCAGCGTTACAATTGAGACTTAGTTAGTAACTTTAGACTACAGTGGATGGTAGAATAGAAGAGACTAAACGTATCCAGTTAGTGTAATCTTATTTTCAAGTATTGGCTTTGTAAGGATTTTGTTTGATTGCATGGAGGATTTTAACATGAGCTGACATCAGTTAGAGAACCACTGGAAAACCAACTGGGAGTACTGGACAGCTGTTTAGTCCTAGATTGGGACTCTTCAGCAGTACGTACTCACCGTCAGGGTTGGAACCCAGGACCTTCTGGTTACAAGGCGAGCTCGTAGACCATTGAGCCACTCGGACCCGATCCGATGGTCCTTGAATTCTAACTTCTGCCAATTCACGACATAGCGAGACCACTTCGCAATGTCTTCTTCGATGAGTTACTGCCTCATCTTCAACCTGCTGTACCCTACTGATCACGGCTCCTCACTAGAACCCCAGGTTAACTGCCTGAATAGGTTCAGTGACTAGTGAGCATCAGATTAATTTTCAAGTATTGGTTTTGTAGGGATTTTGTTTGATTGCATGGAGGATTTTAACATGAGCGGACATCAGTTAGAGAACCACTGGAAAACCTGGGAGTACTGGACAGCTGTTTTGTCGTGAATTGGCAGAAGTTAGAATTCAAGGACCATCGGATCGGGTCCGAGTGGCTCAATGGTCTACGAGCTCGCCTTGTAACCAGAAGGTCCTGGGTTCCACCCCCGGTGGGTGCGTACTACTGAAGAGTCCCAAACTAAGACGACTTAAACAGCTGTCCAGTACTCCTTGTTGGTTTTCCAGTGGTTCTCTAACTGATGTCAGCTCATGGTGAAATCCTCCATGTAATCTTATTTTGTAAATCTATTTATAGCTGGTTAGTAGTAGTCAACCGCAGTTAAACGGGAATAAAGTGGCCAGTCACAATATACGGGGGAAAAAACTAAGGTGCACAGAAGAACAGCGCTTTGAGTTGTCATACTCTATTTACCAAACATAGAAAGACAAACGAGATTACAAAGAACGATTATGAGTAGAAATTTGAGGGTGAATCAATAGTAACATGGAAAAAACAATAAGGTTATTTTTGAGTACATCAGATCAAAGAGAGTGAGTTCATCTGCCTGACTGAGAAAAATTTTAAGGCATATCACCACCACCAATTATCTTTAGCGTTCTTTGGTTCTTACCATCCAAAGGATCCCTACGTGGTGGACTGATTCCATGTTTTCATCTGACCACCGCCGTTAGCTCTTTTCCAACCTAATCCATCCATTCTATGTCAGCTAACACTGCCTGTAGAGGAGCTCAACAGATAACCATGAGCAACACGTGTCATAGCCATCTGAATCGATTCACCTTGACAAACTCATCGATGCACATCCCTTTCTTACCTAACACTCTACACCTAACCTCAACATTATTCACTCTGTTATACCATCTAACATGGGAGATACAATGCAGACACCTATGACCAAAGACGACAGGTAGCCTGCCTTTTCATATCTTTCATTTTCAATGGCCATATCTTACAGCCATAAAGCAGGACACAGCGAACCACTGAGCAGTACACATGTCCTCTGATGTATACCCGGATATCACGTTTACGCTAGAGATGATACAGGTTAGCAAATGCCACACGAGTCTTTTGTATCCGTGCTGAGATTTCTCTGGCAATCAAGCCATTGTGGCTGATGCATCTTCCTAAATAAATGAATTAGGTGATCAACATGCTCTGGCCACCATTTCACTCCTTATCTCCAAACAGGGAGTCAATGTAGTCCAGTCCCATCTCATCATCTTACATTTGACAAGAATGAATCGAATGCTAAACATTCGAAGATTGCTTGTCTACGTGTTCAGAAGACTCTACATTTTATCACTACCGTCACCAAGGAGGATTAAATTATCCGTATATTCTAAATCAACAAGACTTATTCCATGGTAACAAGTCAATCTTTGAGCCACTGAAGTCAGTTACCGTCAATTCAACTAGTTCATCCATGATGAAACTAAACAGAAATGGGGATGGACATTAGGCATCCCTGATGGACACCGCTGGTTGTTACCACAGTTGTCAAGTGACAACTCTCCGTAGGCTTTCACCTGGCTGCATGAGTTCAAGTGGAGTTTCTTAATTAGTGTGATGTATTTTCTCTATATTCGCTTCTCGACCAGACACTGCTGTAGTATCTCTCTCAATCGACGCAATCCAATGGAGCTTTTAGGTCAATAAATATGACAATTGTTGAACACCGGTATATATACCCATGTTCCACCGATCAATTAAAATGACTGAGAATAACTGATAACTTCCAAAGGGTTACACACTAAATAATTAAGGTTATTTTACTGTATGATGAACTTAACATGGAAGGTAACATATAATCATACAGAACATAGAAGCACAGTTGACAGGAGGATAGAACTTTTATGAGGTGAACAGCTGTCTTACTCAGACCTCAATATAAACTTAGTAGAATGATTAAGTCAATTCATTACTGTATTGAGTTTCACCTAAAAATGGTATTTGTATACTTTCTCCCTTATTTTAAGTGTTGGTGTTGCAGATTGATCTCAAATTCGATAACGGATTGATACCAGTTCAAAAAACTGTCGAAAACCAGGAAATATTGCACAGATATTTTGACCTCCTCCTTTAGGACTCTTCAGCAATACGAACCCATAACCCCATCCTCCAGGAGTTGAATCCAGGCGACCCCACTGATCATTCAGCTTCTCACAGGGAATCTGACAGCCCATGAATTCTAGCTTCTGCCATTTCTCTGGAAGTATTTCTTCTCATACCCAACTTGATGGACCCTGTTGGTCATCACTCCTCACTAGAGCTTAATCCTGTAGTCAGTCACCGGTGGGATCCACCAAGTTGGATGTGAGAATAAATACCAGCCGACAACATTGTTTGGAGATCGTGAAATATGTCTCAAAGAGTTAGAAGTGAGAAATGATGAACCACTGGATACTGTACCAGTGATTGAAAAGTCAGTGAGCTCACCCTGTAACCTGAAGGTCCTGGATTCCATCCCTCGTAGCATCATAGGTGTGTACTGTGAGGAGTCCCAAACACGGACAAAACATCTGCACTGTACTCCCTACTGACTTTCAATAATTCTCTAAATCAGGTCAACTGGTGATCAAAATAAAAATAAGTGTTTAGGCTTCCTTCTCAATATAAACCGAACACTATCATTGAACCAATAACAAAATGAGGAGAATTTATGGATAGAATAACTTTCAGTTTAAGATTATAATTTTTGACGTTATATGAGAAGATAAAAATCTCTTGATCTCTTCGAGGGCAGTTCAGTATTGATTAGACAAATTCCACGAAAAATTAGATGTAAAGAGTTCATCAATTAGATGATATAGCCTCTCCGCAGAAGGAATGACGACAGCGTATTAACCAATCACACAAAGAGATTATCACTGTTTGAGACAGCCTAACGACCAACCCTACTCAAAATATTCTCCAAATATTTGAAAACTCAAGAAAAACACAAGTGTGTTTCTGTAAGTGAAAACCACACTCAGACACCAAAGCTAGAAACAGATTCATACGATGCACGAATGCGTAAGTGGTTCAGTGGTAGAATGCTTGTCAACTACGTACACCGTCCGAGATTCGACTCCCAGGTAACGCAGTACTCAACTTCACCAAACCACTAGTAAGTTCAGTGAAGAGGGAAGATTGGATGTGAGGCTAGCTACCCCACCCAGTAAACAAAATTTAAGCGCCACTCAGACTTCAGAACTCAGAGCTTGAAGATCTACTTCTCACTTGAAACGCAAACGTACGCAAAACAAGAAAGCATTTAGTAAGAATGAAATCAATGGCAATATCATACAGACATTGTGAAACACCACTAGGACTTTTTGTCACATAGCATTCGCCAAATGTTGGAAGATAACAGATGCAGGCTTTATTCCACTGGTAATTAGGACCACGATGAGAACGATGTTTGCTAGTGCATTACAATCAACACCAACTTCCACTTGTAAGTGTACCTCTGATAAGTTCAATTTTAACAAATAAATCCACTGACAAAGGCCACGAATATTACCTGTCCCATAAAATATCATTATATGATAAATCAGTCAGGAAAATCAGCATAAAGGTAGATAGTACCATCTACTTTCTAGGCTACTACACTAGACGTTGTCCAAAGTAAATAACTGAATGACTGATTAACAAGCAACCTTAGTGAGGCATTCTATTCCTCTTCCATACAAGTGAAAGAAATAGGATCTACTCCTAGAGGTGTAATAACCCTCTACTCCACATTATGTTCTGTCACACACTCGAACGTGACAGATAAGTGAGAAGCACCAAAATAGTATTCAAAACAAGTTTGTGATCATTCATACATGAAATGATTACCAAACATAACACACTTAGTGAGACATTCGTCAATACAATCGATATTCACGATCCGTAACACCGACGTTCAGTGGAGTGTCGA